CTCTTGATGTACAAAATTGTGGCTGTATACTTATGTGTCAGATGCAGAAAGAAGTGTTTTAAGGTTGTTACACAGATTTTTCCCATTGTTTTTTTTGCATGGATATTGAAGTTTATTGAATGAAATTTAAGGGAGATTCAGGTTGAAAGCAGTCAAGCATCCATGAAGATAGATGCTGTGAATAAGCTTGAAGATTATTGATGAATTCAGATATACTAGAATTGTGATAAAAAATCCTTCAGTATGAACTATTTCCATGCTGTCTTTGGCAACAGATTTCATCTCTATATTCTTTTAGGTTATGATTAGTCCTTGGTGCTATTGTTAGTAAATTAGGATGTTTCTTAATAAATCTCACTTGTTCTGCACAGGTTGATTCGTGCATTTATTTTATTCTTTTTTTTTTTTTCTAACTCAAAGATAAGTTACAGTGGTCACCTGAGTAAAAATGACAGTGAACAAAGTCTTGAATAAAGTTTTTATAACCCCAAAATGTGTTTTAGGTTTATGAAGAAACTCATTATACTTAAAGTATTTAGCAAACAACAGTTTTGATGAGCAAAGGAAAATATATGCACAGATACCTGACATTGGTTTAATCTATGTTGTATAAAATGATTAGATTTTTGTGTTGAGTTGTATGGTTATAATTTAGCAAATACTGGCAGGAAGATTTTCAGACATTTCCATAGGAATAGATGTAGGTTGGAAGACACGAACACCATAAATGTCTGTGTAAGGTGTTTTTCCTGCACTTCTTTTTCACTTGTTTTTATGAAGAGTGTAATTAGCATTAGCTTTAGGTAGTTTTAAAAAGAAAAGGGGAGAGGACAGTTAAGGAGGATAGTGTGAGGTGGTCTGCAATATAGTTTGTAAAAGAATTGTGTGTATCGTGCATTTCTTCTCTCTCTCTCTCCCCCCCCCCCCCCCCCTCCCCTCCGCCCCCTCCCCCCTCGCCCTCCCCCTCTTCTCTCCTCTCCTCTTCTCTCTCTCTCTCTCTCTCTCTCTCTCTCTCTCTCTCTCTCTCTCTCTCTCTCTCTCTCTCTCTCTCTCTCTCTCTCTCTCTCTCTCTCTCTCTCTCTCTCTCTCTCTCTTCTCTCTCTTCTCTCTCTTCTGTCTCTCTTCCCTTTTTTTCTTTTGATGCTCTAATTCAGCCTGGAAGGACATCCCTTAAGAGCTTGACTACAGCATGTCTAGGACTCCCTGATTCCTACCACACAGTGTTGTGATGCAGCTACTTATGTGACGTACTGTACTATCTATTAACACTTCCCCTTCACTTTGGTTTATGAGCTAATCAGTCAATTTCTGTAGATGTTAAACAGAGAGAGAAATCTTGGATTGATATCAGTCTTTCCTGTAATCAGGTGCAGCCAGATATCCTGGTGTGAGTAATTGTAAAATATTCCACACAAGTGAATTATTTTCTGTTTTTGGTCAAAATGAGAGATTTTTTGTGCAAAATTAATGTTACTAGAGGTTGAGTTTGAAGATACTGTATTTAAAAACTTAATTGAGGTTATTTGTGAACCATGATATTAATGAAACATGTTAGATTTTTGTTTATGATAATTTGAGCATACAAATACACACATAGACACAAAGCACACATATTCATTAATGAGAGACAAGTATGCTATTTATGCTTGTGTGTTGTGTGTGTCATAGATGCATCCAAAAATATATTATTCTGTTACATCTCATCCATGAATGAATATGGGAGGTGTAGTTTGGAGGGACCCTAAGAGCTGTTACCAATATATTGATATTATTTCAGTAAGTGATTTACCTTTAATTTTTCATAGTCTGAAATATTTTTCTAAACACAATTTTTTTCTCAGGACGTGTTTTGCAAAAAATGAAAATGGTTTCAAGTCTGCTAAAGAAGTCTTTATAATAGGACTTTGAGTTAATGCTAAGCTAAAACTAGTTTTTGTGTAATCTTTGGATTCCCAGATAAAAAGGCTACAGGTGATCTATTTACATATCTATATTTGTATTTGCATCATGTAGGCATATTACAATTATTATGAAGAACTTTCTCCATATTGTCTAGCTCACGGTAGCAGACTCTGTCTTGTGATGTTTTCCTTACTACCATCTTATGGTTTGTTCTTGTGAGAATGTAGCATGGTGGAAACAGAACATTATTGGAAGACATAGGATGTAAGAACAGTAATATGAGTAAGAACATTATGAGTAATTAGGACTAATTTGGTTCGTAGTTACTTGAGACAGTTGGTCCAAGAACAAGGGCCATTTTCCCAATATCCTACACAGTGGAATGTCATCTGTATATGTCGGCTGGAGTGAAAAGGTTAGATATTTCAGCATATTATCATTAACTAAGGAACAGGGGAACCTCTCATGAAGTATGTGTATGTGTGTGTGAATGTGTGTGTGTGTGTGTGTGTGTGTGTGTGTGTGTTTGTGTTTGTGTGTATTATATTATGTGTGCAGATGTATAAAGTATGTACCTATTTGCCACATATACACACAA